ATGCCTGCGACCAAGGAGCTTTGAAGAACGCTACAGACAGGAGACAGGGCGCCTGGGCCGGGCAGCTGCCCCTCTGCGCACGCTGCCATGTGCCACGGACAGCTCCAACAGCTGGAGTCGACAAGAGCTGAAAGGCACTTCCACAGCCCAGCCGCCGGGTTTTCTTTGCGCCGTGCCTGATCAGCTTGGCAAACGATAAGGTCGGCAAGCTGTGGAGCAGCAGTTACTCTGTAGAGCTCTATCAGGGATCGGGCCCTTGGGAAGGGGACCAGAAGAGACCAATGAGTCAACACAGCTGGAGTAAGAGGGTTCATGGAAGTTGGGTGATGTCCAAACCAGGGGTCCATTCCTCAGAAGTTGCTGAAGTTTTCCACGCCCAAAGCTTCTGGTTACGTGACCTATCTTTTGGGCGCAATCTCCAAGCCTCCTGGAGCAGCAGGGGTCTGAACTGGAGCGGTCTATTCCTATACATGAGCCATGGGGATTTCACAGAGTTCTCCAGCCATAATAAAGCATCAGGATGCAGCAGCAAGGGTGTCCTCCTTCTCTTCCTGTGCACTAATATGACCCTGTAAATGCTTGTACATGCACATAGGTTAAACACGCATGCTCATGTGCAGGGCAGAGCTGGTATGCCATGGATTTATTAGCACAAAGCTTCTAACAGCTGGGCCACGGTTTCTTCACTCCACGGTGTGCCCAGGTAACAGCTCTGCACATGACAGCTCCCGCTCATCATCTACCTGCACAGCAACCTTACGATAAGCAGTAGGTGACCAAAGGTACGTTCCAAGGATGAGAGAGACAGAAAGGTAAAGAGAAAGACAGGTAGGGGGAAGAGAGGGGAAACGGATGGAGAGAGACAAAAAAGGAGAGGGGTGAAGGGAAAGGGGAGGAGGAGAGGAGAGAGCAGAGAGGAGGAAAGGAGACACAGATGCCAGCATGCTATCTTTCAGATTCTCTTTGTGATTGTAGAGGTTAATGGATTCATGCTTTGTCCTTTTAACTCTCCCAGCACTTACAAATGAGTCCAGTGCAGGGTAAAGAGAAGTCAATCTCCGCTGCCTGAAAACCCCGGAAAGGTCAGGAGAAGAATAACTTCAGCTGAGGAGGGGAGGGGAGTAGGGAAGAAATCTATAAAACCTACCTCCTGGCTGCTCTTCTGCAACCTGCAGCCCTGTCTGCCTCCCAGGCCTCCAGCTCCTCACCCCTCTGTCTCTCCCTCCACTTGGGTTTCATGATGCGGGCATTTCAGCTGCCCTTGCACCCACCAGCCGGCTGGGTCCTGTCGGGTGTGAGGAGCTGCAGCCGTCCTGGCAGCATGCCGCAAGCATGATGGAGTAGAGCATACGGCGACAGTGCCCCGTTTCACATAGTAACGCGTGCAGGGCGTCGGACAGGCTCCTGTTATGTTCTCTGCCTCTAGCTGACACCCGTGTGATGCCAATCCCTGAAGAAGAGCTGTAACAAGGTGTGTAAAAGGAGCCCTCGTCCCTGTGGACAGGTGTCGACAGCCTGTCATCATCCAAATACCGCGGCTCATTGTCAGGAGAGAAGGATCTGGTCACTGAGAGAAGCCAGAGGGGTTGCTAGGCTTGGCACGGGAGAAGGAAAACTCTCTCCATCATTCCCAGCAAAACTGAAGCAATGGGGATTTCCTTCTTAGGAGCCCGCACAAAGGCCCTTTCCGCAGCAACCGTCACAGCTCTTGAAATCTAAATGGCAGCGTGGGCAGACCGAAAAGCTCCAGACACCTCCGGCCACGTCAGGGCAGTCATGCGTTTTCTCACGGGTGCAGAAAAAGCGAGAGCCTGGCTTTTAGATGTGCCAATTGCAGAGACCAACATCTTGTCATGTGCCACTGACAGGCAATTAAGTGTCACACAATACAAAGCACGCGAGCAACAAGGAGACAGGAACAGGAACACCTGTACGGGGCTGGGCACGGATGGGCTGCAGATCTGCGTGTTCTCAAGACAGCTGGCGTCTTGACAGCATCAAGGCTACCAGCTGGATGGCAAGGGTTTTCCCTCCCACAGATGCAGAGGTACAGAGCTCTGTTATATGACCTGTGTTAGGCCTTCATTCATTCCAGTAAGTTTGAGACCTGCATATAAATTCAGCTACACCATTAGGCACTTGCTGACTGTCCATTCAGCAAAGGACCTTAAAGAGCTACTCAGGAGAACCCGGGAACTGTGGAAGAAAAGAGGGATGGAGGAGGTGCTGCTACCCGGGCCCTGCCAGCTGGGAGCACCTATGCCATGCCCTGCCTGGAAACTCCCACAAAGATCAAAAGGCTCTAGCAGCACTGTTTGCACAACTAAGGCTCCTCTTGCAAGTACCAAACCCCCAGCCCAGGACCCTAGCACCATTTCCTTTAGCACCCTGCTTGCAATCCCCAATCCAGCTATCATGTCCGTACCACTCCTAGCTGGGAGCTCCTACTCAGTCAGGGTATTCACCACTCCTGGCCAGCTTCATCTACAAACCCTTCCTGTCTGAATGAAGAACCTCCTGCTCTTCTGCACTGCCCAGCAGTCAGAAAACACCCAGAAGACAGGAAAATAATGACAGCAAAGCAGGCAATTCATCCCATGTTCTGCTGAGAGCCATTATTTCAAACCGATTCAATGAGGCTGCTCATCCAGTGGTTCCACCCATGAAGGCCTGGGCTCGTGTACAGACGGGGCTTGCTCTTACCTCGGAGGACGGTGAGCCTGGCCTGGACGGTGACTTCCCCATGCGGGTTCTGGGCGACGCACTCGTAAATATTCTCATCCCTGGGTGTCCGGAGGGGCTGGATCCTTAGGACGGCGCCGGCGCTTTCATCAAATTCAATCGTCTGAAAGACAAAGCGGGGAGGGGCTGAGCACTCCCGGGGCACAGGCACTGGGTCAGGCCTGTCGGTGGGGACCAGAGGGCAGTTGCCCTTGTTTATTCCTTCCTGCTCCTCTCCCCCAAACCCAGTGGACTCCAGATCAGGCCTCATCATCTGAGGGAGGGAGGGAGGGAGGGATTCCTCCCCACGAGCCTTAGCTGGTCAAAACTGCAAGGTGCATCTGCAGGGCCCCAACAGCCATGAAATGCCTGGCTGCTCCAGGCAAGTGGGGAGGCAGATGACAGGCAGTGCAAAAACTGCATTAAAAATTAAAGCTTCTCGCTGCACCATCTGCCCAAAGAGCGGACATCAGGAAGTCTCTCCCCACTTCCAGCTGGCTAGCAGGGCAGGGTCCCCTTGGGGTTGCAACCCAGGCGAGGGAGCAAGATTTGAGCTTCCACTTATCCCGCCTCCCCTTCCCCAGCTTATTTAGAAGATATACACTCAGCAGTCCTCCTAGGGAGGGCAGGGATCCTCATCTGCAGATGCTGCAGATGCTGAAGTACTAAATCAGGTATGTATGCGCACGTGTGCGTGCGTGAGGAGTGGGGGGTATTTAGGGAGCTGGAGAAATGCCGGATGAGAGGGCAAACTTCTTCAATGCAGCTCCCACAAGGGACTTCTCCCAGGCTCTCTGTTTCTGGCCACCAAGAACCACTTCCTGGCCTATGCTTCTTGGGGAAAATGAAGCGGTGGCTTTGACCCTTGCACTGGAAGGGATGCAAACAACTACCTTCTGCTTTTCAAAGATCACAGTCCAAGTCTCTCAGCCATTAACAGAGGCCGAGAACTCACCGCCCATTTCCACGTGCACCTAAACCAAGTGCTCCCGGCACCCCCTGTCACGGGCAGGTTGTGGGGTGCCCATGAAACGGAGCTGCTTCACATCTGCCGCACTGTGGTCACGTGCACGAAGCCATGGCCCCGCTTACCTCAAACCTCTGCGAGTTCACTTTCTTCCCCTTCTTGTTCCAGGTGACCCGAGGCTTGGGGTCTCCAGTGGCTTGGCACACGAAAGAAGCCACGCCTCCCGATACACCAATTTGGTCCACTGGCTTTTTAATGAACACGGGGGGACCTTTAACAAAAGAGGAAGACAAACCCTAATAAAGATCAGTCAGAATTCATACTGAACCCCCAAACCAAATGAAGCCTCATGACAGGGGGAAGGCAGGGGATGATCATTAGCATTACTTCAGATACGAGGAACCTGTTGCACACAGATAAGGCCCCGATGCTGCAACTGGATTTGAGCGGGGCAGAAGCATGTCCTGTCACTTCAAGGGACTTGATACAGATACAACAGTTCACATGCACAAATCCAACAAGATCATGGCTGAAAGCAGCTGGCAGGACTGCAAGTTGGACCCAAGATCTCAGCTCCCAGTCCCCTGATCCCAGCAGTAGAGCAGGCTAGGGCTATGGGATGCATCTAGTTATATATCACCCCTTGCTAAGCACTAGTTTCCCATGGGAAACCTTCCTGTGGCTCTGCCCAGCACCTCTGTTTCCAAAGGGAAACTTGTTTCTAGGTTTCCAGGTGACCTTGCTCTCTTTTTGCTGACTTTCACATTGAATTTGAATGCCCTGCAAACACCTGGCTGTGCAAAGTGAGGCCTCATACTTAACTGGGGGGAAATGCCCTGTGTATCTCTGGAGGAAAGGTGGGTATGCAGAACCCTGCCAGAGGAAATTGGAGGTGCGAGCAATGGACACCAAATGGACCATGCAACTGGGGGGTGGGGGCAGAGGTGGAAGAAAAGGAGCCACTGGGCCTCGCACAAAGCACCTCGCTTGGAGAAAACACAGGTCCCTGTCATTAAGGGAAAAGGGAACAACAGAGCCTCAAGGTTTTGGGGTGCACAAAGTACATGGTGCAAGTGGATACACAAATAAAGGGAAATTAGGGAGGCAAGCAAGAGCAACGGAGGAATGCTGAACCCATTGCATGGAGGAGCACACAGAGCCCCTGGCAACAGGTAGGGGTGTGAAAGTGTGCAAACCCCTGAAACGGGCATGAGAGGGAGACCAGGGGAGCTCCTGGGCAGGGAAGATGGGAGGCTCCGGGCACGTGCTGCAACCCCCTAGCAGACACCTGCGTGTTTGTACAGGCCTGCCCGCAGCCCTGCACACGCACGCGCGCGCAGCCCCCTCTGGAAAAGCGAGCTGACAGCACGCCGAGAGGCAGCCCCAATTCATCACTGCCAGACGATCAAGATGTCAAAACGGAGCGCGCGGTCAGGTTCGCCGCCTGCTCCCCCGGGGGACTCTGCAGGCCCTTAAGTTGCAGATCAAGGGATCTGTGCAGCTCAGGGAAGGATCGAAAAGCCCCTCAACCTCCTTGCAGATCCAGCTCCTCAGAGGTGCAGCAAGGCCTGAACAAAACACTTGCAGCCTCGGGATGCGCTTTATCCGGCCAGGATCTGGATCGGGGCCCCAGTGTCCCAGCGAGCTGCAGCTGCCCTCCCAGGCCCCCACTCCTCTCCTGTCCTGGCAACCTTCAGGAGCATCCTTCGAGAAATGAGGCGGGTGGAAGAGAGCTGGGGCTAGTGGGAGGCAAGCAAAATGAGGAGCCTCCACCTACATTCACCCCAAGGGAAAACCCTCCCTCCCTGCTCCTGTTCCGACCTGCTTTCCCTGCACAGTTTCCGTCAGCCTAGTTAGTTTAAAATTTATTGAAATATTTAAATCACAAGGCCACAGCTGTGTGCAAATAAAATCACTCAGATCATAAAGTTGCCGTCTGTTATTCTTGGGAAAGGAGACCACATGACTGTGAAATGTGTATATTTATATGTACATATTCAGAGTCTATAAAGCAAGATGCAGACAGTTGACAAGACAATGCTGCAGGAGAGGGCAAGTGGCAAAAGACCTCAGTGCTTCGCAGGGGTGAACGCAGACAGGAAGCGCCCCTTCCTCCTCCCCCCGCTTGGGACAAGAAGCATATCAATAAAAGCGTGCGTGCATAATGCCATCGAGCATTTGTTTCCATGCTGGAGGTAAATACAATTTGCTGGAGCTGTTTATGTCCTCACTGAACACTGGGTGTGCAAGCCCTGGATTTATAAATATCTAAATCTATATTTAGAGGCCTCTGCAATGTTACAGCTAAAGGTTGGCAGCAGGTCCCACCGGAAAGTCCTGCATTTGGGAATTTGTCATCTGCCTGTAAACACTTGCTCCAGGCTAAAAACTAAATGCACTGGGGACTCCCTTCTCCTTTTGCCCTCTCCTGATTTAAAAATCTGCACAGGTCTAGGCTGGACTGCATCAGTGCAAGCAGAGAGATCAAGGGCGTCTTAAAGGCTCTGAAATGACACACTGGGCTAAGAATCAAATCCTTTGCAAGAATTAAATGGTAAGCTCCCCTTTGGATGCCCCCCTGCAACTGGTGACTGCAGTGCCACCTACCCCAAATGCTGCCAACCATGTGAAAACACTCACCCACATTTGCTAAGAAAGATGGGTGGCACTACCAGAGACGATGCAGAGATACAACGCTGAAATGAAGCTATTGCACAATCCCCACAACGTTGCATAGAAGTGTCCCAGGACCCGGGAGCTTAGCCACAGGATTTCTATCCGACTCGCAGCAAAGCATGCAGGGCCTTGGCTAGGAACACTATTTTACTCTGAAAAATGTTTTAGGACCCTTCGAGAGCAAAAAGGTGCTACATGATGGCACGCCAGTTCTGGTGCAATCAGGCAACGCGCGTCCGCATTTCTTCTGGTGCACCACAATTGCAGAGTTTTGATTTAAAAAAACCCCAAAGCAGAAAGAAAGCATTCAGAGACATATTTTCCAGACATTGTTCTTACATTCAGGGAAGTTTTATACCATGTCATCCATCCTCTCCTGTGAGAAGAGAGGGTAGAAACATGAGCGCTATCCCCAAAGTGAACTGGTCCTGGAAAGCCAGAATGAATCCTAGCCCGATCCTGAAGCCCTCGGGAGCAGGGCACAAGGGATTTCTCCATCCTGTTTGCTAATTAATAAAACCTGGCTCTTTCCAAGAGAGACTGAATCAAATGGGACAGGGGAAACCTCAAGCTTAAAGCATCTTCCTGCCGCGAGGGGTTGCCCGTGGAGTTTGTATCCCGAGAGATGAAACCGCGGAGGCAGGCCTGCTGTGCGCCTGTGATTTTTTTTTCCCATCCTGATTAATGGAAACCCATCAACTTCAGCAGAGCCCTCCACTCCAACAAGCTTCCCCAGAGACGATCCCAAAAGATGCATCCACAGAGAGCTTCAAAAAGTTCCTGCCCTGCTCCCTGTGTTCAGACGGGAAGATGAGGCGTATTCCTCCTCTTGTCCCTTTGACCCCCATCTCCACCCCCTCCCCACAAAATACAACCGGCTTTTGCTACAGGATGCAGGGGTTTACATGGCCATCATCACACGGGCTGCTGATGAAATCTGTGAACTAATTCCCCCATTGCGCACGTATTAATAATTTCCTTCTGGCTTCGCCTGCTCCAGTCCACGCGGCAGACAGCAGGCTGCTGGTAGGAAGGGATATAACTCACATTTACACCGTCTTAACTCTCCTTCTGCAGTTCTTTCACATAGCGCCGTGGTGGAAGAGCTCTTTGTTGGTCTTTCTGCAAAACCCTTACAAGAATAAGTCATCTACCCACTAATGATATACTGAAGCTAAGGGGGAGGGTATGAGGGGGATATCTGTACATCTGAGGGTCTATCGGGAGTTCGTGCCGTGCCAGGCAGTAGCTGATGGATGAGAAGAGACAGGTAGGCAGGCTAGTCTATGTTTGAAACATTAGAGGCCAAAATGCTAGCGAGATGGAGAACCCACGAAGTAGCTTAATGGGAGAAAGAGAAGGGGAGGCAAGAGCAGGCAGGGCTGACATCCAAAACCGACAGATGATGGAAGGACGCTTGGCTGCGAGCTCCAGGTATCATGCCTGGATCCAGCACCGGGTCAGCTGTGCCAGCACCGCCTTCTTCAACCTGCGACAACGTGTCTTCGGAGATTGAGACCTTCAGAAGTCGATGAAGGTCCTGGTTTCCAAGGCTGTCGCGCTGACCACCCTCCTCTACTGCAGTGAAACCTGGACCGTCTACCGACGCCACATTAGGACCCTCGAGAGCTTTTGCCAGCGGTGCTTGCGTCAAATCCTGGGGACCAAATACGACCCGTGCGAGCGTCCTCCACGAAGCTGCGTCCACCAGCATCGAAGCCTTGCTCTTGAGAAATCAACTCCGATGGGCCGCTGCGTCTGGATGTCCGGGAACAGCCTCCCTCGCCAGATTTTCTTTTCCCAGCTCTCAGTTGGCCAACGCTCAAAGGGCGGCCAAAGGAAACAGTACAAAGACACACGCAAGGTGTGTCAAGCACGGAGGCATCAACACCAAGGGTTGTTCCCTTTGCAAACCTGGATCCCAGACAGACAAGGCAGGCCTTTGCGTTGCAGGCTCTGTACGGAAACCTTGCAGGGCAAAGAGGCCAAGGGAGACGTTTTAGTCCTGGACAGCCAGATCTTCTGTTTATTCTCAAAACAGGTGCAGACCCTGCTTTTGACAGATAGTCCAACCAACGGGGTCCAGCCACGAGCTGGAGGAACAAGCCTTGCTGGTCGAGATGGAAACCTGGCAGCCTCTAGTTTCACTGTCAGCCTGGGCTGGATCTGAACCGGAGACCTAGAGCTGAAAAGCTTCGAGTTACCTAGCCCCGGGTTAGGAGATGCGTGCATCCGAGGGTAGAAGCGGATAGAAAACAGTTGCTCTCTCCCCCCTCGCAATCTGCACCGTGCTAGCACCTACTTCCCACGCCAGCATCGAGCCCTACAGAAAGGGACTCTGCACTTGCAACCCCAAACCCGCCGGACGCCCGTCCAGCACGCGGCACATCCTGGAAAGCCCGAGTGGGCAATTTGGGGGCAGGGAGCGGGAGCCTGGAAATAGCTTCCCCGCTTCCTCAAAAGGACAAAGATGCTATCGTCACCCTGGAGGGGCAGCAGCTCGGTGACACGTAGGTATAAGGCAAAGCTGGCAAGGAGGGTCCCCTGCCGACCCTGGGGGAGCGGTGCTCGCGCTGTGCCCCTCGCGGGCGCGAG